ATTATTTTATTTTATTTCCTTCTTCTCCTATGATTCCATGATATTTTGTACATCTACCTATGAAGGGGTTTGTATTATTATGCATGCTTCCTTAACTACAATACTATGAAGTCTTTTTAATTTATGTGCGTTGGTCTTTTGCCTACATGTGTGTTTCTATATGGATGTTGGGTACCCTGGAACTGGAGCTACATACATTTGTGAGCTTCCATGTGTGTGTTGCAAATTGAATCCGGGTCCTCGGAAAAGGCAGCCAGTGCTATTAACCACTGAGCCATCTCCCAAGCCCATACAATACTATGAAGTCTTTAAAAGGTAAAGGGAGTCTTACTTATCTCTGTAGCTTGGTACATTTCAGAGTCTTACACATAATAAGTTTCTATAAATATGTTGTTAGGCACATGACTCAATGGAGTAAAATCTAGTTAAATTTTGTGAGTACTTTCCATCGAAGCTCAAGAGGATTCTTACTATTTTACTGACATCAGGTATGATGAACATTACATATTTATCCTTGTTTCATCTGTAAGAATTATATCATTAATAAAGAAAAATTTCATGATATACTCTATCTTGGGTAGTTTAGAATAGTTCATAAATGTGTATGTCATATTGAGCTAGTTCTGTGAAAGTTCTGTGTTGTTCCAATTTTAGTATGTGCGCTGCTGAGGTAAGCAGTGGAAATAGGGCTTAGCCTACATTTCATGGTCATCCTGAAGTTCCAAGATGAGGTAAGGCAAAAGTTCTCTAATTGTCCTAATTGCATACTCATAAAAGACCTGATTCATTTTTTCCAAGTAGCTCTCCTTCAAATATTTCTGGTGGAATCCAGAATAAAACTAATGAACATTACAATAGTAATAACAGGTGCTACAGAGTGAGTCTTTCTGAGAAATTCTAAATGGTCTGCAGGCCTTATGCAATTTCTACTTTCTATGTTGCTGCAAGGCAGACAGCAGCTAGTGTTATTAAATGAAGAACTGAAGAAAGGAAACAGCTTGTGACTCATGAAGGTCACTAGATGAATCACTTGTGGAGCCATAAAAAGAGCCAAGATTTTATCTTGGAGTTTTGAGCCTCATTCATGCCCACCTTCTGGGATCCAAGGTACACACTCTGCCATGCTAGGAAAATAACAGTTTCATCAACCTTCAGTACTTCTGTTCTGTCTGGGTACTACACTTCAAAATAAACATGAAGGCATTCTACCTAGCTCATAAATCCTCATTTTTTTGTATGATTCTACCTTGTTTGATTCAGAGTATAGAGCTCTCAAAAGCTATTCTCTTCTTCTGGGTGACTAATCATTTGCTTTGCTTTATCTTTGACCATTCCTCAGATGCATCTTCATGTTCTCTCTTCACAGTTCAGTATTACATCATTGCTTTTCTTTTCTGAATTCCTCTCCACTAAAACTCAAATATTTCTCTTTATAAGATTTATTTTTATTTGGTTGTGTGTGTATGTGTATGTGCGTGAGAGAGATAGGGGGAAGAGGAGGAGGGAGGGATGGAGGAAGGGAAGAAGAAAGAAAGAGAGAGAGAGAGAGAGAGAGAGAGAGAGAGAGAGAGAGAGAGAGAGAGAGAGATGCATTTGAGCATAGTGCTAGTAGAGGCCAGAAGGAGATGGAGCCAGTATAGGTTTAAACAGAATTCTGGCACTAGGGAAATGTTCAGAGATCTACAAAGATGACCCCAACTAAGATTCTAGGCAGTACTGGAGAGGCCGCCTTTGATGTCCTTCCCCTATAGTGAGATTGATTACTACCTTAATTGCCATCCTAGAGCCTTCATCCAGTAACTGATGGAAACAGAAGCAGGCACCCACAGCTAATCACTGAGCCATACTCTGGAATCCAGTTGTAGAGAGGGAGGAATGATCAGCAAAGGAGTCAAGACCATGCTGGAGAAACTCGAAGAAACAGTTGACCTGACCTAGTGAGAGCACAGGAACCCCAATCGTAAAGCTGAGGAACCAACATTGGACCCAACCAAACTCTCTGAATGTGGGTGTCAGTTAGGAGACCTGGACAGTCTATGGAACCTCTAACAGTGGAACCAGTATTTATCCCTAGTGTACAAATAGACTTTGGGAGCCCATTCCCTATGGAGGGATAATATTTCAGCACAGATACACGGAGGAGGGCCTAGGCCCTCCCCCAAATGATGTGACAGGCTTTGAGGATTCCCCCATGGAAGGCCTCACTATCCTTGGGAAGTTGCTGGGGAGTGGGGGATCGGTGGGGGGAGTGGGCGTATGAGAGGAAGAGGCAACTGGGGGATTGATAAATAAAATAAGATTGTTTCTAAATAAATAAAAAATGTTATTTCTGCGGTGTCCTCAGTATTTATCTTTCTATCTGCTCTTTTCTGTTATCTGACAAATATGTGCTAGACTCTCATTTATAGCAAATAGAACCTGACCTTTAACTACTGTATAGACATTGTACATCCCCATTTTCTCCACTTTCTCAGTTTCCTCATCTCTAAGATAGAGATGATAGTCCCTAGTCCTTAAGGTAGTTATGAAGACTACAAAAGTCAGTGAGTAGAACACTGGTAAGCACTGTGTTCATTTGATATTGATGCCAATGACTGTAAGAGGCATTGCTAATATAGTGTTCTACTGTTCATTCTCATCTTTTAAAAGCTATCCAATCCTTTAACATATCTATCAACATTTATAGTATTAAGAAACAATTCCATTGTCATTTAATGGATTGATGCTAACAATATTTGTCTTAGTTCATTTTTTCTTTTTGAAAGTACTTAGCCCACACACAGAGGTATGCTTCAGAACTTTCTTAGTCATTCCTCAATTTCAAACAACTTGCCAATCAAGATTATTCATGCCTTGTGAGGTTTGACACTAAACCACACTCCCTAAAGCCATATTTAACCTGCAAATAAAAATATGGCACTAACACTATATGTTTCTTTATCATCCAAACCATATTAATTCTTTCCCTTCAGTTTGAGCACTGCTGAAAAGACCAAACTCTTTACCAATACTCAAGGAAAACTCTTAACTATGACCTCCTGTAAGATGAAAATAAATTCTTCCAATTTACAATGAAAAATATTAAACATCCCCATTTCAAAACAGGAGGAATAGGAACAGAGACAGGAGGAATTTGCCAAATAAAGGGACCAAAACTCAGACTGGAATACAATAAACTCTATACTTCTAAGTTTAGAATCACAGGAGCAGAAAGGACTCAGGCATCCTTGAATCTTATTACCTTTCCAGATATATTCTATATGGTTTCTTCCTTGTTCTGGCTCTAATCACTTCCATCAATTTTCCTCAGCAGACATTGCATTTTCCTGGCATTCCCAAGTACCTGCATTTTCAGCTACACTTTCATGGTTACATGTACCTCCCTCTCAGGGCTGCCCAGGGAATTTTGCCTTGCTGTATATCTCTTGGCCTCCTTATCTTTCTTTTGAAATCCTAGACTAAGCCTGAATGATCCCATGACATTTGCACTCTCCATACCTATAAAATAGCATCAAATATAAATTATAAGTGTCTGTTGCCAGCTTGTATGGCAGCAGGACCCACTTTGACTACTGTGGTAGCAGATGTAGAGTGTTTGATGAACCTACATTAAAGGTTTATATTTCCCTGTTAGATACAAGTTATCTCAACAAATCAGAATTGACAATCATTAATATGGACACAGGGTTCAGGGAGTAAAACTGATAACAGTGAATCTAACAAAATACAAAAAGAAAGCACAAGAAACAAGAAAGTGTTTCTTTGTTGGATAAAAGAATATTATTATATTGTAAATGCTTCCAAAATCAATCTTCTTGACATCAAAATGCCATGGCATCTTAGTTTTCTATTGCTGTGAAGAGACACCATGACCAAGGCAACTCTTATGAAAGAAAGCATTTAATTGGGGGCTTGCTTAAATTTTCAGAGGTTTAGTCCATTATTATCCTGGGAAGCATGGCAGGATGCATAACACTAGAGCAGTAGATGAGAGCTACATCCTGACCCATAAGCTGCAGACAGAGATTGGACCTGGCATGGGCTTTCAAAACCTCAAAGCCCATCGCTTGTGACACATCTCCTCCAACAAGGCCATACCTCCTAATCCTTCTAATTCTTTCAAACAGTTGTACTCCTTGGTGACTAAGCATTCAGATATATGAGACTATGGGGGCCATTTTTATTCTACCTACTACAACATTTAATCAGTCAAATGATAATGATAAACTTGAAATATAAAACTGTGCAGTTTTCATGCATTGTGTTGTAGGTATGAAGGTACACAGTTTTATATTTTATGCATATTTCAATGATAGTTGTAATCTGAACTTATTTAGGAAATTTATCCATATAAAACTTCCATATCACAGACAATGAGACCTAAAATATTTTAATGTTAAATATTCTAGAGGATATCTATCAATATCTCTTTTGTTTTTTATAATTCAATTACTGGACTGCTAGGCTACTGCATCTAAAACTACCATGCTTTAATGAATACAATGTTTATGCCTCTTTGAATGTTTTTAAGTTTATATATTTAAGTGTTCTTGAACATGTGTGTGCCTCTGTTCATAATATAACTCTTTGAAGATGTACATATTTATAAATATAAACTTACACTTCTTTTTGTCTCAGAATGTTTATATGTTTCTATATGGAATATAGAATATGCATGTGTGTATACATGTAAATGTACTAAAAGTGTGCTTATGCATCAATATGTATGTACAAGCATATAAACTTGGAATATATATATATATACATATATATACATATGCTTTTCAAAATATAGAAATCTATAAACTTAAAAGAATAGTATGTATATAAAACTGTTGAATTTATATATGTATATATTATTGAGTATATATTAAAATATAAGATACATGTGTCCATGTGTTAAACCTAAGGAATTTTCAGTGTAAAACCTAAAACCTAGTACTTTTAGTACAAGTCCTAGTTCCAAAATATTTTGAGTGCGGGGGTTACCACTCTCTTACCTCATTGTATAGAGGAGGGTTCCATTGTCTACCAGTCTAAGCAGTTTGTTGGGTGTGGTCATATTGTGAGCCACTGATTTCTTGCCATTGTGGAAGAAAGTGTCAGGAGTCCATATCTTACTAGCCAGAAGATTGTTCAGTGGAAGGATCTTCATGGGCCCATCAAATTTCAGTCTTTCATCATGCCATGTCTGTCTAAAAAATACATCAATAGTATATTCCTAGAACAGAGAGAAACAATGTTTCAGTAGGGTTCTGAAGAGCATCCACAATGCCATTGGTAAATATTAATTGAATAGTTCCTGTGATATAGAGGAGGAGTCTATTAGATGTATTTACTGGTGAGTATGACAAATGATAATGACTGAAAATTATTGCCATGTTAACCAATAGGTATGAAATTACTCATTACTGATGATACATATATCTAATCATATATCTAACATATCTTACTAGAAAATCCATTGCTAGCACTGCTCTATGTACAATACAAGTTGAGCACAAGATTATTCTTCTCTGTGCTATGACATCTCTAGTAAAAAACACTCTGTCTTTATTGATGAATGATTTCATATGAACATTAAAGGTCATTACAACCATAACCATAAAAGTAAACCATTAATGTTAATACAAATTTCATGTGAGCTCCAGCTTTTTACATGTGGCCAAGGGATTTAAACAGGTCCTCATGCATATGAAATGAGCTCTTCGCTGAGTGAGAAATTTCCACAGCCATTTCTTTTTTTTTCTTGTACATGATCTACAAATCTAGAATTCTCTTGGCATACATAATGTTATAGGCAAGTTGTCAGGAAATCTAGAATACTAGATGTGATACTCCTGAAAGAAAGAGTGCCACAGAGGGATGGGCTCCAGAATATGAGTATATTGTCTACTTTCATTCCTGGCAGAAAGTTGGACTACCCATAAATATATTATAATAAAAAACGGGTTTTTAAAAAAATAGAGCAGTCCTCTACTAGCTCAAATAAATATGTTTTGTGATATTTGTGAGTTTGCCACTGTTTAAATAGAAGAAATTTTCGAAGCTATCACAACTTAGCTGTCAAAACTCTGAAAATTTCATTAGCTTAATGTGTCACAGTAAAAGTTCAGACTAAGAACATGGCCTACAGTTGCTGGTCAGTTTCTTAAAGCAAGCAACCATCTGAGAATATAAATCCCTACATCTGATTACAAACTCCAGCCAAATCCTTCACTGCTCATGCAACACAGCAGAAGGGAGGTGTAAAGAACGTAAGAGCCAGAGGGAATGGAGGTCACCAGGAAAAGGTCCTCCAATTCAACAGGAGAAAAGCTCATATAAACTCACAGATACTGAAGCAGCAAGCACAGGGCCTGTATGGTTCAGCCCCAGGTCCTCTGAGTATATAGTATGGCTTCCAGTTTAAGGTTTTTATGGGACTCCTGAGTGTGTGAACAAGTGTGTCTCTGATTCTAGTTCCTTCCCTTGGGGTTCATTTCCTTCTGCTGGTTTGACTTGTCCAACTTCAGTGTGATGGTTTTTTGTTTAATCTCATTACATTTTATTTTGTGAAAAAGGTTTCTAAAAAATGAAATATTTTTAATGAAAATAAAAATCACTAGAGTCAAAAAGAAGGAAAAATTATTCACCTACAATGAGAATGCCAATAAGAATACCTTATAAATATCCATAATGCGTAAGAATTAAGAATTTCAATAAAGTTAAGCATTGAATGGCTATGTGAATGCACAAAAATAATTTTGACCTTTAAAATATATTTCAAGGCTTTATGTGCTTTGTATTAAATTTTAGCCAAACTTTAAAGTTCTGCTTTTTAAAATTGTCAAATTAGCCATATTTTATTGATGGCTGACAGCTAGAATGCTACATATATTTTTACTAAATAATTTTGAATTCAATTTTTCATTTTGTTTTGAATTCTAAATAAAAGGAAAAACTAAAAAGGACAAAAGGCACAGAGATATCCTTCAGCTAGCCAGGTTAAAAAATGAAATAGCAGTTATAAGTAGATGAAAATCTGATCCAATAACTGCTGTGGTCACACCTTGAATAAACTCTTCCCTGACATACATTGTTGCCTTCATGTTTGAGATCTTTTCTGTCAATTAAACAGTCTGGTTCTTTTCTTCCTCCAGGATCCCATGCACATCCCTAAGAATGGGAAGATCCTACAATTTGTTGCCTGAACTGCAACACTTTTGAGAGAGCAAAGGCTTTAAAAATAATTAGGACAACGGGTATAAACTGGGACTCTCTAAGCCTATAAACTAGAACTAGACTCCCACATAAAATCACAATCTTGAAAAGCTCCAACCTCAGCAAAAGGGGTGAACTAGATAAAATGTGCAAGACAGAATAAGCCACAGCACAAAAATTCGAAAACCAAGTGGGTAAACAGAGAGGACAGACATTTCTATTGAAATTCAACCTCATTTAATCTTGGATTGATGTTCAAATGAATGTACATTGATGTGCTTAATCTAAAACATTCAAACTGAGAAATTAGCATAAAACTGGTGTCAGATGCCAAGGATGAATGCATGGTAAAAAGAATATTGTAATCCACAACAAAAGACATAAGGAAATTGTCAATTATCTTGTATGCTATATAACCAAATTAGACTAACTGCAAAGACCTCATACAATATAATTATCAAATGGAGATTAGGAATGATATGATGGTAAAATTACAAAGATTTAGGGTAGAGAGAGAAATAAAACACAGGTTTGAAAAGTGGCCTACTTGAAGTGACATACTTGAAGTGAAAAAAAATGAGTTAGTATAAAAATTTAATCAGTAGTAGAATTGATATTACTGACGAAGAGATCAATATATATGAGGAAAACCTGCCAGTTTACATTGCAGACAGATAAATAGTGATAAATATGAGGATGAATCTTTCCTATCATTTAAACAAGAACAAAGGGAAAAGTTTCAGGGGATATTGGAAATTCTAAACATAAGAGAATAGAGAAAGTGAGGGAGGAACAATTTTCATTATACTAATGGATGAACTTTTCCAGAACTGATGAAATAGATTAATCTGTAGTTTTAAGAACAATAACGAGCTGCAAAGTCAATAAATTAAAATAGAGCCAAGCTAACCCAGAACAAACACTCAAAAAATATCAAAAAGTGGATGAACTAAGAGCCATCAATTTGGTTAACATCAGACATCTTAAGGGTAACAAGAGAAGTCAAAAAGGCAATGAACACATATTTTGGAAATGCCAAAGGGGAAAAGAAATAACTGTTATTCCATAATTGTATAACTCACAGAGCTAGGTAAACATTAACCTAATTTTACACAAGCAAAGTAAGTCAGAGAATGTAGTACTGAAGGACCATTCTAACTCTGGCTTTTCTTATGGAGGGGTTTCATCACAGCCTTCAGTTTCAGTGGACTGTGCAGTAAAGAGAAATTCTTTGATCATTTTACCATAAACAAATAGCAATCCTCCTTCTCCTGACCATTTGCTAATTGTCTTATTCACAGCACTGACAAAAATGTGTCTTTCACTCCAACTAGCTGGAAATTCTATTATAGTAGGGACATTTTTCTGTTCACTGCTATTCCTTCAGCATCTGAAACTCTATCTAACATGTATATGCTCTATGCACAAATATAAGTAAATGATTAAATAGGTCTTCTCAAAATGACTTCTAAAAGAGTATGTTCCTGTAGTTGAAAGTGAGACTCTTGTGAATATGTAACAGAGAATGACAAGCACAAGCACTGGCAAAAGCATTCATAAACTTAAAAATGGCTAATCAAGACTAGGAGAGTAAGTTAGAAAAACTAATTAGAACAAGCTGCATGGAAGAAGGGAATAAAACGTGAATTAGTACATATTTATAAGATTTGGAAAGAGAGTAGAGATATGAAATACCATTCAATTGCCAAATAAATATGTTAACATTTAAGGTAATTGTTAACATGAATTTAATTGAAAGGATATAAAATACAAAAAAGTAAGAAAAACAATTGGATATATTTAAAGTGTTTCAACATTATGGAAATAAAAGAAGAGAGAATAAAACAGAAGAAATTAGGGTAAAGCTCAGATGACATGAAACAGAAAGACTGGAATGATTCAGCTTCGTTTAAGGATGATCCAAAACAAAGTTTGCAATACAGAAAAGATGGACTATCTGATAAACACTTTTGTCTTTGATTTAAAGTATCATTCACTTTTTTAAAGGAGCATCTAAAGTGGAAAATAAAAGTCCTTTGAACGTCACTACATCAGAGATATTCCTTGATCATTGTATTGGAAATAATAGATCTTGAAATCTAGAATGCTAATCCTTCCATCCCTGTTCATTTTGTTTGGCATTGTTTTGACTCTCTGGGGTCTTATGTGGCTCAATATGCATTTTAGGAGTTTTTCTTCTATTTCTGAGAATGTCTGAGTACTTTGATCACTATTGCATTGAATCTGTAGAATGGTTTGGGTGTAATTGTCATTTACTAATCCATGAATATAGGAGATATTTCCATTTTCAAATGTGGTCTTCAGTCATTTTGTTCAGGGATGAGCCTCCTGATAGGTTATCTGATCTCAAGTGGTCAGCACTACACACACACACACACACACACACACACACACACACACAAATGCAATAAATATTTTCCTAAAGAGACAACACCAGGAAACAGGGTTTGGGTGAGATTTTTGATTACAGGGATGGTAGCACAGTTTGAAAACGTCCTTAACATCCATGTGAATCAGAAGTGTTAATATAATCAATTAAGTATTATTTCATATCCATAAATGTACACATATAAAGTGTGACAATTTGAAACATTTAAAAAAGTTTATAGAAATGGAGTCATTGGACCTAGATAATGGGAATGTAAGTTGGCACATCACAATAGTATTTGAACTCATATAAAAACAGTAAAGCATACATAGGTCATATGAATCTCAGAGCTTATCTATAAGCACATACCCTATAGAAACTCAAACATGCCCACTAAAAGTTTGTACAATTTTTTTCTTTCTCTCCATTTTTTATTTAAATTAGAAACAAGATTATTTTACATGTCAATCCCAGTTCCTTCTCCTTGCCCTCCTACACTGCCCTCACTCCAACTAACACCCTACTTATCCCATACCCTTTCTGCTCACCAGGGAGGGTGAGGCCTTCCATAGAGGGTCTTTGGGGTCTGTCATGTCCTTTGGGATATGGCCCACCCCCTTGTGTCTAGG